TATATTATCGAATTGAAAAAGATTATTAGAAGGATTATAACAAAGAATTGTTCATAATTTTGCATACTCAAAAAAGTTTGAAAATTTAGATTTTTAAGTAATTATAGTATATTAAGAAAGTTTTTCTTACTTTTTTTTTTTTGGAAAAAAGTTTAAGACCTCTTGTGCTAGTTTGGCTTTAGGCCTCCAATAGTCGTTAAGACCGCCCCAAACCTTTAGGCGAAAGGAGAATTGTTTGCTCAAAAGTTATACAAAACTTACGAGTATAAAACAATATGAATAAATCACGGGATAATCATAGCAAATCGTAATAATCCGTTGGACCCAATGAAAGAAACGAAAATAAGTACTCAGGAATAAGGGTAGAAGCATTAGAAACCTTTATTGATAACATTTGTTTGGTCTGCCTCTCCATAGAGAGGTTCAGAACCTTACAATGGTATTTTCTTTTCCCATAAGAGGGGTATATTTTCTCGATTCTCTCTCCTCTCACTAGTGATGAAGAAGCAGGCCCCCCCCTCCCCCTTTCTGGGGTTTCCTCTCTTGGTATTTATAGCTGTGAGCTTCGTGAGCTGGCAATAAGTGGCCGTGACCACGTTGGGGTTTCGCCTTCATGGTGGCGGATGGGCCGTGGCCTTGTTGATCGAATCAGATGAGGGTTGAACATAATTAATTCTGAGTGGTCGTGCCACTAATTAATCATGAATTGTTTAAAACGGGATTAGCCTAATTAATTATCGTGGGGTCGGATTCTGACTCATACAAGAACGATTTTCACCCTCCTCACCACGTCCCAATTTATGATGGTAATATAACAGTAGTCGAGGAATAGTAACGTAGTATAGTTTCTTTTGTATAATTGATTGATTAACAAACAAACAAAAGGGCGGAAACTGCGAAGAACCTGTGTTTTTCAAACGTATTCGTGAATAAGACTTCTTCTTTGCCAACCTCTAAAGCCCCACCACAATCTTCCTGCCCTACTCAATTCCTCTTTGTTCCTCTTTTCCCTCCCTCCTCTCTTCTCTTTATTCCTAAACTACCCTTTTCAACTTTAATTTTTCCTCTTTTTTCCTTTTGGATTTAAATTATGTATAATAACAATATCAACATTTTTTTTAATACTATGAATGTAATTTGATAGGGTATAACAAGTAGCTAGTTTATCATACTTTTTTAATCTATAATCACGGGCGGGGATAGGGTGAAGGTATGTGTTCATCTGAACCAAGTAACTTTGACTCGAATTCTATATAAAATATATTAAAAATCTATTAAATATGTAGATATCATTGATTTGTAACCGACTAAATCAAATGATTTGTAGTAGAAATCCGAACTCGAACCCATAAAGCTCATATCTTTGATTTACCTCTATCTATACTTAATAAATTGTTCTACAACAATTGATAATGCAGATTTTCTATACTATCAGTGTATAAAAGTGCAACATGTGCGATCACATGTATATACATTTGTGTTTTTTCTTTTTTTCTTTTTTCTTTTTTCTTTTCAAGTGGAGCGTAGGCAAACCAGAGGACTATGTACAAGCTTGAACACTAATTCACATCTTTGCATCTCTCGGGTTACAATTAGTTGCCGAATTTTAGAAGGCAAAATTGAAGTTATTGGAAGATAATTGGATAACAAGTAGGAGTAAAAGTTATAGGAATAAAAGATGTTTTAAATGACAAGCAAAAGTTGCACAAAGTTTGCCTTTTTCCCGAAACATTACATACATTAGCCTACAAAAGATGAAGTTTATTTGGTCCCCGATCAGATATTCAACAGTCTTAGTTGGTAAAAAGTGTTACTATTTAAAAGTGTTTTTTGGTTTTTGTTAGAATAAAAACGTAAAAATTGTGTGGGGTAGTCACTTTTTAAAGTGGTATTTACTTTTTATCCAGTATTTTCAATGCTTAGCAATAGTAGCCACTAGTCTATTAAAATTAACATGAAAAGACTGTGTTACCCTTTCTTCTATCTCTTTCATGTTAGGAAGCTCAGCGAACTAAGCTCAGCGAAATGACTTAAAGGATGACGAGAAGAGGAAAAAATTGAGTTTTGATTGAAAGTGAAGAGGTAAAAATTGAAACAGGCGGCAAAAGGGTATTGGAAAATTAAACAAGATATGCAAAAAGATTCAGATTAGGAGGATAATAATTGAGTCTTGATATAAAGTGAACACAAAAAAAATGGAGTAGTGGGGTTTTTCATGTTTATTTGATTTGTCTGTTTTTGGGGTCCAAAGGATGAATGTAATTAGTGATTTAAAAATTGGATTTTTATTAAAAAGAGAAGCGATGAAAATGGAGAAAGATGTGGTACCATGTTCGTGAGTTCAAAGAAAGGAATGAAATTTAGGAGGGAGAAGGAATGAGTAATTACAGCTTTTCTTAAAATTTGATCGTATGCAATTATGGTGGTTGATGTATTTCGGTTTGTGATTTCTGTGATGTATTTTTGGTTTTCTACTACGTTATGGATCCTGAACTTACAGTTACAAGTTCAAAAGTTAAGGACATGTAGTCCTGAAGTCCTAAAGTTAAGTTCAAAAGTTAAGGACATGTAACTGAAGTCCTGAAGTTAAGTTCAAAAGTTAAGGACATGTAGTCCTGAAGTCCTGAACTTAGAGTTCCAAGTTCAAAAGTTAAGGACATGTAGTCCTGAAGTCCTGAAGTTAAGTTCAAAAGTTAAGGACATGAGCAGAAGGGTATTTTCGTCCGGGCAGTTAAAATTTATTAAAGCAGTGGCTAAACACTAAAGACATTTTAAACAGTGGCTTAAAAGTAAATACATGTGTTATTAGTGGCTAACCATGCACTTCCCCCAATAAAAACATTATCACTGAATTAGTCTTAGAATTTTGCAAAATAATAATAATAATAATAATAATATTATTATTATTATTATTATATTATTATTATAATAAAATTTCAAAAAGCAAGTTCGTTCATCACATTTATTAGTAATAAATTCTTGGAATCCTTTTACTTTAGAAATTTAATTTAGGATAGTGTGTAGACAAATTACAGAAGGGTAGTCTAGGAAGTTCCTACTATTTTTGTCAGCTTTAAGCTCTCCCCATATCTACAATAATTTATGTCCTCTTCTTGTCATTGTTTCGAATTATCACTTCTCTAACATTAAAAAAAATCAGTGCATATATTCTCTTCTCTCTTCCCAAAAACACAACCCCACTCCATTCATCCTCCATAGTCCCAAACCCATAACAAGAAGAAGCATAAAAAATCTAGAAAAAGAAAAATTAATGACTAGTCATCTTGAACTTGAACTGTCACATAATTACAGTGACAGTAATGATGATGACGAGGATGAGGAGCAAGACATGGATGAAGAAATAGAAGAGGAGGAAAAAGAAGAAAATAATTCTAATGACTACAACAACATTTACGGAGTTTGTAGTGGTCGTGGTCGAACAGGACTGACAGGCTTTTTCTCGGGGAAAATTATAGACCCGAGAGCAGCTTGGGTTCAAGAATGGAACAGAATATTCTTATTAGTATGTGCCACTGGACTTTTTGTGGATCCATTATTTTTCTATGCGCTTTCTATTAGTGAGAATTGTATGTGCCTCTTCATCGACGGGTGGTTCGCCGTCACGGTCACGGCTCTCCGGTGCATGACTGATGCGTTGCAATTATGGAACATGTGGCTGCAATTCAGAATGAACAAATTACGCCCTAATGATAAGAGTCCTCGACGTTCTGTGGCTTTAAAATATTTGAAGGCTAAGAAGGGTTTCTTTTTTGATCTATTTGTCATCCTTCCTTTGCCGCAGGTGAGTTCAAGATGATTAATTTATGATATGCAATTTTTTTTCTTTCTATTTTGTGGTATGATAAACATGGTGATGCATGTTTTGTATTTTAGTATGAAAATTGTAGTAAAAGAAGACAAAAGGCATGCATGTCATGGCCGTTGTTTGTTATGCATGCAGAGATAACCTTATGCAGTTGCAGTAAGAACATGTGAGGTAACCAACGTGTCTTTTCTTTCTACTCACAACAGAAAGAGGAACTCAAACAAATTTGTACGACAAATAAGTATTAGTAATCATTTACAAGAAGAATTACATATATTTACGCATTTTGAAATGGCATTTACATCAAGAGTTCAAGACTAGTGGGACTACACTGGCCGTTGTTGTTGTTGTATCAAGAGTTCAAGATTTCACTCACTTACCAGTTTACATTATCATAGAAGAAGAATAATGACGAGTATCCCACTTTATGATCCGTCTTATTATGTATCGAACTTAAGAAAAAATAAAAAATTGACTCATAAACTAAAGATGTATCATACCCAAAGTACCCTTAATATTTTGTGGTCTACATGCCATGTAAATATCTACAAAAACATATCTCTAAGAGTTTAAGTTCTATATATAGACGGTGTAAAAAATATATATTTACACAATCAAGTTAATCTTGATATAGAGTTAATATTGAAAATTAAAAATGATAATTAATTTGCTCTCTCTAGTTAAACAACATTAATATTGTAAAAATAATTATACTTAATATTGTAAATAACTTAAATGCCTATCGCAGAGTTAAAAGTTTAAAAGTAAAGATCTAATTATAAATGAATAGAAAAAAGAATTTATGGAACAAGGGTCAATACAAAAGAATTTATGCGACAATGGTCAATACTTATTGAAAGAGAAAAGGAAAACTTGATGAAAGTTTTCTTGTTTTGAGCAAATCTAAGAGATGTTTTAGGATGATTTCATTTCACTTGCATAAATAATTAAGCATTAGTATGAATTAATTGCATAGTTTAAAAGAAGGGACGCAGAAGAAAGTGCTATTTGCTCCTTTTGTTTTCTTCTTTAAATTTCATTATTTATTAAATTGAAGAAAGGGAAGGGGATGCTATATGTATCACCCCAACCCTCGCTATTCACTCCCTTAACTTAAGAAAGATGAAGAAAGTACAGAAGAAGAAAAAAAAAGAAAAAAAAACGTTAATGCCCATTATCATGTTTCTCCGCTAAACCTACCAATCTCCAATTATTTATAACATTTTTATGATGAGTAGGACCTACGTAGATTTTGAAAAAACACTATTTTTAACCTATGTTGTCTTGAAAAATAATTTCCTATTGTTTTGATGGTCAAGAATGATCAAAATGCTTAGACTCGAAGTGTTGCGATAGTCACATGTGTGAGAAGATTGAAGCCGCACAATTTTGGTTGATCAAAAAATTCAACGGATCGTAGTTTCAAACATGACTTTATATATGGAGAAGTGCCTCAATCTCCATATTTTTAGCAACATATGTAGTAGCTTATATGATTGTTAACTAGGGGACACTAGTAATTAGTTAATTACCGATCATCATGTTGAGATCGAAAATAATAAGGCGTCAAGCAGAAGCTATCAATACAAATCTTGAACGATCAATCAGACGACAAAAGAAATATATACTAAAATAGGCATAAACTTTAATATGCTTTGGTTTAGTTTCTCATATAAACTTTATATGAGAAACTAATATAAAATTATAAAAAAAACACTCCCTAAATAAAACTCTCTTAATTAAGGACTACATTGCGGATGTTATTGTTGTTGTGTGAAGCAAGGATTCTAAATATATAAAGGCCACAACCTTTTTTTCCAAGAGAGGAATCTGTTAAATATCGAAGAGATCTATATTTTCCTTTTAGGAAAAGTAAAATTATGGTTAATATTCCACCTTTCCTTCAAATAAAAAAATAAATTCAAATTAGGTAAGAAAATTCTATGGGCCAAAAAATATCTTTAATATAGGCAAGCTACGTCAACACCATGATAGCCTTCATTGGCTACCATATGCTATCAGTAAGGTCTCCACAAAGATCTGCCCCAGGTCGAAGTAGCCTCGAAGCGATGAAGGGTGCGATCGAAGAGTCAGTAAAGATCAAGGTCGTGAAGTCATCGTAGTTCAAAGTCGAGGTCGAGCATCTTAGACAGAGTTATAACGACTAGTTTTAATATAAGACGCAAAAGAGAATATTCTAGTAGATATCCTCTGCACCAGTACTATTAATGTTGGGCACATGCCTATGTTGTCCAACCAAAGGCAATGGTCTAATCCAATTCTCTTTTGGTTTCCATTCCTATTCGGAATTGGATTCGGTATTTATTCCTATTTTGAGTGGGTTTTGGCTTTTAGAGAAAGTACCACTCATGATCTATAAATAGGACAACCTTGGAGAATCATTATATTCTCAGTGATACAAGTCTTTGAAAGACTTAAGCACATAAGAGTAGTTTTTAAGAGAGCTTTCATCAAGAGAGAAGAGAGAAGAAAAGTATTTATTTTGCTGCAGATTTTTATTCCGACCAGCCAGTTCAAATCGTATTTTCCAATTTGTAAACCGTTGGATCGGGCTGAAATTCTGACTGAGTGTCCGTAACATCTTGGTCTTAGATTTGAACGGTGTAAAATGGATTTGGAGGCCCGTAGCATCTGATTTAGAGCCTCGAACAGCATCTTTATTTTTGTGGATTCTCCTCTTTCTTCAATTGATTAGTTGTTGCTCATGTTGATATTGTTGCTCCGTGTTTGGCACTTGTTGTGTAGCCAATTTGGAGAACTTTTGTAACCCTCTTATTGTCATAGTGGAGCTTTTTGGATCTTTGTGATCCCGTGGTTTTTACGTTCGATTTGAAGGGTTTTCCAGGTTAAAATTTGGTGTTCTTTATCTTCTTTATTTTTGGGTTTGCCTCTTCCTCGACATAACAGTGGTATCAGAGCCTTGATTATTTATCCGGGCTGCTACGGAATGGAGGCGAATATGAGCAAGATGGTATGTTTAAATGGGAGCAATATAATATTTGGAGAAGCAAGATGAAAGACTTGTTGTTAGTAAAGAAGATACATCTTTTTAGCTCATAAACCCGAGAGTATATCTGATGAAGATTGGGATTTCGAGCACCAACAAGTATGTGGATATATACGGCAATGGGTTGAAGATAATGTTCGCAACCATATTGTGAACGAGACACATGCGAGATCATTATGGGAAAAGCTAGAGACTCTTTATGCTTCAAAAACTGGGAACAACAAGTGTTCCTGCTAAAGCAATTGATGACCCTTAAATACAAGAAAGGCGGCCCTATCCTTGATCATATAAATAATTTTCAGGGCGTCCTTGATCAGCTTTCTGGAATGGGAGTTAATTTTGATGATGAGATACAAGGACTTTGGCTTCTTAATTCTTTACCAGATTCTTGGGAAACTCTTCGTGTTTCTTTGACAAACTCAGCTCCTGGAGGTAAGGTGACCATGGAATATGCCAAGAGTGGTGTGTTGAACGAGGAAGTAAGGAGAAAATCTTAGGGTTCGTCCTCACAAACAGATATCTTGGTTACAGAAGACCGAGGGAGAGATAGAACAAGAGGCTCGTGGAATAGAGGTAAATGTAGAAGTAAGTCAAGGTCCAAATACCATAATATTACATGCAACCACTGTGGCAAGAAAGGACACATCAAAAAGTTTTGTCGCAAGTTGAATCAAGACACTAGAGAAGGAAAGAAAGCTGAAAATAACGAGAACAATGTTACTGCTATTGTTCTAGATGACCTTCTTTTTGCTTATGATGAAAACGTCATCAATTTGGTATCCCATGTGACGAGCTGGATAGTAGATTCTGGAGCTACCTCACATGTCACACCAAGAAAAAACTTTTTCTCATCTTATACTCCTGTTGATTCTGGAGTGTTAAAGATGGGCAATGCCAGTGAAGTTAAGGTGTTTGGTGTTGGCACAGTTTGTTTGAAAACTAATAATGGTTCAAGGTTAGTTCTTCAAGATGTCAAGCATGCTCCAGACTTTCCTTTCAATTTGATCTCCGCAAGAAGATTAGACGATGAAGGTTACCATAATTCTCTCTTTAATGGCCAATGGAAGCTCACCAAGGGCTCGTTAGTAGTGGTAGGAGTCAAGTCTAGTCATTTATATGTGACACAGGGGTCTTTTCTTAATGACTCCATAAATCTGGTGAAAAGTGACACTTTATCAGAATTGTGGCACAAAAGATTGAGTCGTATGAGCGAGAGGGGATTATGTGTTTGGCTAAGAAAAGTTTGATTTCTGGAGTGAAACAAGCAAAGCTGAAAAGGTGTATCCACTGTTTAGCTAGCAAACAAAAAAGGTTTCCTTTCATAGCCATCCTCCCTCAAGAAAGCCCGATTTATTGGAGCTAGTACACTCTGATTTGTGTGGTCCTTTTAAAGTAAAGTTAAAAGTGGTGCACTTTAATTTGTAACCTTCATTGATGATCATTCTCGTAAGCACTAGGTGTATCCTTTGAAATCTAAAGATCAAGCACTTGGCGTGTTTAAGGAATTTTAGGCCTTAGCTGAGAGACAGACGGGGAAGAAATTAAAATGTATTCGCATAGACAATGGTGGTGAATATTGTGGTCCCTTTGATAACTATTGCAAGGAATAAGGAATTCGTCATCAGAAAAACCCGCCCAAGGCGCCTCAATTGAATGGTTTGGCAGAGAGGATGAATAGAACCATAGTTGAAAGAGTTAGATGCCTGCTTTCAGAGGCTAAACTTCCAAATACATATTGGGCGGAAGCACTTAACATTGTTGCCTATGTTATCAATTTGTCTCCTGCTGTTGCTTTGGATGGTGATGTCCCAAACAAAGTTTGGTTTGCCAAAGATGTTTCTTGTGATCACCTGAGAGTTTCTGGGTGTAAAGCTTATGTGCATGTTCCTAAAGATGAAAGATCGAAACTGGATGTCAAAACGAAGCAGTGCATCTTTATCGATTATGGTCAAGATGAGTTTGGGCATCGTTTTTACGATCCAGTTGACAATAAACTTATTAGAAGTTGTGATGCAATATTCTTTGAAGACCATACTATTGAAGATATTGACAAAGCTGAGAAGACAGATTCTCAGAGTAATGAGAGCTTAGTTGATAGTGATCCAGTTTCTATTGCTAAGGCACCTATTGCACATGAAGGAACCCAAGACAATGATGGAGATAGTGATCAAGATCAAAATGATCGTCATGGTATAGATGTATGGATGCTTCAGTTGATGAAGTTGTGGTTGATCAACAACCAATTCCTGCTCAGGTACTACTTTGAATGCTCCTGAAACCTCTCTTAGAAGATCTACAAGGGAGAAGCAAAAATCCATGCGCTATCCTCCTGATGAATATGCACTTTTTACTGACATGGGAGAACCTGAGAATTATGATGAAGCCATGCAAGATACTCACAAAGATCAGTGGATCGAAGCCATGGAAGATGAGATGAAGTCACTCCATGAGAATGGCACATATGAGTTAGTGAAATTGCCGAAAGGTAAGAGAGCTCTATCTAACAAATGGATATTCACAATAAAGCAAGATAATCATACCGCTGCGCCTAGATACAAGGCGAGGTTAGTTGTTCAAGATTTTAGCCAGAAGAAGGGAGTTGACTTTGATGAAATTTTCTCCCCCATTGTGAAGATGTCTTCTATTCGTGTGATTCTAGGTTTAGCCGCAAGTCTAGATTTAGAAGTTGAGCAGATGGATGTCAAGACTGTTTTTCTTCATGGTGATTTAAATGAAGAGCTTTATATGGAGCCGCCTGAGGACTTCGTAGTTAAGCTTACAGATAAGCATGCGTTTCGCAGAAAAATGGCAGGCATGAAGCCTGTCAATAGTTCCTCTACTTGAAGACACATTTGGCCCCTTGGCTGGAGGGGGAGTTTGTTGGGCACATGCCCATGTTGTCAAGCCAAAGGCCCAATGGCCTAATCCTACTCTCTTATGGTTTCCATTCCTATTCGGAATTGGATTCGGTGTTTATTCCAATTTTAAGTGGGTTTTGGCTTTTAGAGAAAGCACCACTCATGATCTATAAATAGGACAACCTTAGAGAATCATTCTATGCTCATTGATACAAGTCTTTGAAAGACTTAAGCACATAAGAGAGGTTTTTGAGAGAGCTTTCATCAAGAGAGAAGAGAGAAGAAAAGTATTTGTTTTGCTGCAGATTTTTATTCCGACCAGCCAACTTCAAATCACGTTTTCCGATTCGTTAACCGTTGGAACGGGCTGAAATTTTGGCTGAGTGTTCGTAACATTTTGGTCTTGGATATGAGCGGCGGAGATCGGATTTGGAGGCTTGTAGCATCTGATTCGAGCCTCAAACAACAGCTTTATTTTTGTGGATTCTCCTCTTTCTTTAATTGATTAGTTGATGCTCTTGTTGATATTGTTGCTCCGTGTTTGGCACTTGTTGTGTAGCCAATTTGGATTGTAGCCCTCTTATTATTATAGTGGAGCTTTTTGGATTTTTGTGATCCCGTGGTTTTTACCTTCGATTTGAAGGGTTTTCCACGTTAAAATTTGGTGTTCTTTATCTTCTTTATTTTTGGGTTTGCCTCTTCCTCGACATTACAATTATGATTTCTAGGAACATGTTCTCTATAAATAGAAAGAGACACGATGATAGGGGACAAGAGATATTCATTTGTAAGAAAACACTTTGACTTTATAGAGAAAATCTGATCCTATTACAAGCATACAAAAACAACCTTTTTACTAAGATTCTTGTCTATTCTTTCCACTGTATCCAAGAACAACCTGAGTGTTCAAAGGCTCATCAATCATTCATTATTGTCAGAAAGAATATCAACAGATCTCGCCCCTTTTTGGGTGACTCACACATTTTTATTTAATTACTTAAATGCCATACATTGCCATTTATTACTATTTAATGTTATCTTCTATCTTTTTGGATCATTGTTTATTATAGCTCACATTCATTACCATACGGTCAAATATACATGTTATTGCCATAAAACCGATAACCTAGTCTTGAGCATATTATTATTGGTTAAGACTGGCCGTTCTTTATTAAAATCTAATTGGTTGAACCAAGATCTATATTTTTGGTCAAGAAAAGAATCGGGACAAATTCCTAACACATCAAATATTTGTTGCAGATAGTGATGTGGGTAGCGATTCCAGACCTACTGGAGAAAGGATCAATAACAACAGTGATGACAGTGTTGTTAATAACGTTTCTGTTTCAGTATCTGCCCAAAATCTATCACTCCGTTTGCCTATTGCGGCGGATGCAGGGTTTCTCCGGCTACATATTTGGCACTGTTTGGTGGGGAATTGCTCTCAACTTGATCGCCTATTTTGTCGCCTCTCACGTAAGTACATAGTACCTATTACTAACTTTTATACCATAATCTTGATATTATCTATCTCATATAGGATTATAATCCCGGAATATATATCCTTGTTCTGGACCAAACGACCCCTTACTATAGTAGTATATAATATGGGCAGGCTGTGGGAGCATGTTGGTACTTACTAGGAATCCAAAGGGCTGCGAAATGTTTGAAAGAACAGTGCGAAGTTACAAAGGGTTGTGGCCTCAGAATGTTGGCCTGCGAAAAGTCAATATATTATGGAACAAATAGTCTGGTGAAGCACAAAAGTCGAATCATATGGGGTGAGACCAAACTTGCTAGATCGACATGCCTATCCTCTGAAGAAAGTTTTGATTATGGAGCTTATAAATGGACTGTTCAACTTGTTACTAATGAAAATCGTCTTGAGAAAATACTCTTACCCATTTTCTGGGGTCTCATGACTCTCAGGTATACAATTATTAATCACCTTCTTTTTCTTTTGCCACTTGATAGAAAATAAATATATAACTAAAGTTAACATTTTTTCATCTCTTGTTCCAATAAATGCTTTTTCAATTTTTTGTTTTATAAAATATGCTAGTCAATAAACTTTTACATGGTGGATTCTTTTATTTTCTATCATTTGTATTTTCTGTCCTGAAAATTTGACTTTTCGGTATTAATATTTCCTTAGCAATACACATAGTTCAGTTACTATAATGTAACAAAAAGTATTTTTCTAACTTTACTGTTACGGTATAATATAGTTGAAGTTAATCCAGTATATTGTGTCTATATGGAAATTTTACAGTACTTTTGGCAACCTGGAGAGCACAACAGATTGGCTAGAATTAGTATTCATAATCATCGTTCTTACTAGTGGGCTAATTCTGGTCACCATGTTGATTGGTAACATCAAGGTAATAATAACTCTCCTAATTAAACACACAGGAATATATATATATATATATAGAGAGAGAGAGCAAGAAAATGCTATAAGGGTCTTGTATATATATATATATGTTTATGGTACATATATTCGATATGTGCAGGTTTTCTTGCATGCAACGACATCAAAGAAACAGGCAATGCAACTAAAGATGAGAAATGTAGAGTGGTGGATGAGGAGAAGAAGATTGCCACAGGATTACAAGCAGAGGATGAGAAATTATGAACGACAAAAATATGCAGCAACGCGTGGAGTTGATGAATGCGAGATGATACAAAACCTTCCTGAGGGTCTTAGAAGGGACATCAAATACCATCTTTGTTTGGACTTGGTCAGACAGGTAAACTTCTCAATGCTTTGATTCTTCTATAGGAAAATTCTATCAAATTACAGCACTAATGACATATTTCATAGGGGCAAAGCCTTAGGTTAGATAATATATATAAGCATTGGATTTTAGGTGTACAAGCCGTATTTACACTAGTAAAAACCTGCTTTAAATAAGTTTACACTCAATCTATCTTTCTATATACTATATTAAAAGCATTAAGGCCCTTAGCGAAATGTCGTTCGTCTTTTTTACCCTTTAAAAATAAGTTTTATATTGGACAAAATTGTAATTTAAGTTTCTTTCCTAATATTTAGAACTTTAAATTCAATTAGATTTTAGTTATTAACTATTTTCCTTATTGACCTACGCAAAAAATCCTATTATTTAGGGAGGAGTTTGTGGAGGTTGCTATACGTTATAAAATAGAGAGTTTTCAATTGTTTCCAATAATAAATACACGTTAAGATATAATTCCCTTTACTCTAAATTAAAACACATGAAATAGTAGTACATTTAACAACCTCGAAGCACAATTATATAACATGGAACATAATTTTTAATGCTTTTATTTATCTGAAGTTAATTATTTTCTTATAGTGTGATTTTGCTTTATGTTGTACATCATTAATTGCATCGCATGTGCTAAGATGATTGGATTTTGAGGCCACATTAAGGTTGTACGACAAAATTATTTTCTGTTCATTAGTTTTTCTACTAAAATTATAATTACATTAAATGGTTAAACTTGAGATGGACTAATATTAAGAATTCAAATTGACAAAAAAAACTCTTTAATATTGAGAACAAATATTAAGTATAATAAGTAATTAGCAAAAATCAATTCAGTTATTTACTAAGTTCATCTTATAAGTAAAAACAATTTTAAAGTACACTCTTAGGATATATAATTTGTTTCTAAAAGAATAGCACTGCGATGAAAGAAATCGTAATATGATATTAATATCCAAAATAGTTAAAAATGCAAAACTCTAAGGAAAACATAAATGGAATACACGCGCTAAAATTGCCTTAGTGAAATGTTCGTCTTTTTTACTCTTTAAAAATAGATTTCATATTAAACAAAATACTCATTTGATTATTTTTCTAATATTTAGCACTTCAAAATCAACTAATATTCTGCNAAATCTACTAATATTCTGCTTATTAAATCTTTTCTTATTTGGATCATGTCAAAGTTCCTAATATTTAGGACTTTAAATTTAATAAAAATTTATTTTATATAAAAAACTTCCTTATTTGACCAACTTTTATATCCTTACGCATGGACTTAATTTTTTTTTTCGGAGTTTAATACGTGGCACTTAAAATTTTTCATGTTCTTAGATTCTTTCCCCAAATATTACCGATAATAGAATACCTAAAAATAATTGGAAATTAGCAATGCATGTTCTTTTTCGTTTTGACTTTTTAAGAGATAATTTTAATTCTAAGTATAAACTTTTAGAAGTTTAAACTAACATGGTAATATTAATTTAAAAAATAAATCGAGCTACAACCATACTATGTAAAATTATAACTACAATTATTATTTTAATATTTTGATGAACTAATATATTTGGAACTTTAAAACAACTACAAAGTTTTTATTTTTTCACAGGAAGAGGTCCACTTAACTTACATATAATTTTAATGAACTTCGAGTGAGACAAAGAAAAAACCCTATGTAATTAGGTTACAAAGAACAAATTCCATCACCATGATTAAAAAGACATATAAACATCAAAGAAAAAGATTTTAATATTAGACTCAAATCCGAGGAAAAAAAAAACAACGAAAAATTCAGAGCACATTTTTAAACTTTTAGTCTCTTTTGTTATAAAAGTAGATTAACTGTATTATTTTAACATATAATATTTATTTTAGAATCTTAATAAATTAAAATTACATTTTATCATATTATTCTCCGGAATAATAAAAAACTGATTGATTCGTGCAATAATTCGCATAAAATTTTTATACTCCATGACTACTGTGCACTCTCTTTTATTTAGTAATTTTTTTTGTATAATGATCTTATGAATATAGAGTTTTTTAAAAGAGTATATTTAAGAGTAGAAATTACATAATATATTATTTTATATAATAAAATATCTATTAACCATAAAATATNATTAACCATAAAATATTATACAATTAATTCAACTAATTTCATTATCTTCATGTTCAGAAGATATTAAATTCACAATTATTGTGTCAATTTAATAATTCTTATTATTCTGATTTAAATTAATATTTGATTTATCAATTATTATTTTCAACAATTTCTTCTTCTTGTATACGTTTATAATGATTAACGTGATGCACACGTGCAACTCACGTACACTAAAACTAGTTAACTTAAAAAGATGACCTGCAATCGAGGTTATGTATTGGTCGAAATCTGATCGCTGCAGTCGGCCTGACCAAGATCCGTGACAAAAAACGACACTAAGGGAACGACGAAAGCGGACATTGTGCGAATCTGTATTGACCCATAGTGAGGGTTCCATTACTATATATAGGGGAGGAGTCTCTCAAAGGAAGGTGGGGGGGGGGGGGAGGGCTTTTTTCTCTCTCTTATCTCTCCTCTGTAATCTTCTTAAAAAGAGGAACCTTCCCATGGAAGACGAAAAACAGTGATCTTCATCGATTAATGAATGAGAAAATGAAAAATATCAATGAGATTGATCACCCCTATTTCACCTTATGCATTATTTTCTGATTCGCTTATGGATCTGGAGGTTATTAGGTTTGACTAAGATTTACCTCTTCATTCTCTTTAATTGATTTGTACGAAAAGATTTCAATATCTTTTGAATCAAACAATTTGGCGTCGTCTGTGGAGATTTCTTAGTGAAAACCTCCTAGTCTCCTCTAGATCGAAAATCGAAAACACGATCATCCACCGAGAGGAACGGTAAGTGAATCTCACACGACAGCCTAGATCATGATGTTATATACAAGCAAAAGTTGCAACCAACATCATCCCCCCCATGCTGGGCAGCCCATGAACCAGTCAAAACAAGCTTGGCCCGCACTGAACCAAGGCACAAAAAGGAAGGGAAAGAGAACCGAATACGGTTACCAAACTTAGAAAACACCATCATCTTCAACCATCAGAGCGCCAAGCAGAGCAAGTAACGCCACTAATCCACCTTCGTTCACCAACTCATCAGATCGGGATAAGGAGGATATCATCCTAACCCACCTTCTGCTGATTGCCCAAACAAGAACGTAAGCGCAGCACGGGCGAGCAAGCAAGGAAACATCCCAACTGAAGAATAGGAAATTATTACGGAACCACTGAAATATCGTCCACCAGACAAACCCGACGCCTCGGAAGTAATACCCTTCGAACGATACTTCCTCTCCCTCACCAAAAAGGTGTCCCAAGAAAGACTTCCTGGGGACTTAAACATCAGGCCGACGAGGAGGAACCCCCGCGAGGTCAAAGCATAATTCATCGTCCCACCCGCCAATGACATCTCAAAACCGGAGAACGAAAAGGTTAGACGGGAAAACTCCAATATGTGTATGAAACGAGTGCGAGTTAAGCAGAAGCGTTTCCTGCTCTCCGGTATCACGCTCCCCGACGCAAGAAAAATTAAACAGACTGGGACTCATCCTCGAAGTCCCTGCAGACGGAGTGATTCGCCAATCCACACGGTGCCCCGAGATGACCAACGGCGAGGCCAAGTATGAAGCTGTGGTTGCAGGGTTGAAATTAGCCCTTAAACACGACACTCGACGACTCGTCCTCCATTACGACTTTCAACTGGTGGCGAATCAAGTCACTGGGACTTTCCAAATCAAAGAACAAAGACTACAGAAGTACCAGTCAAAAATTCACAAACTGCTACCAGAATTCGACGAATTCCACCTCGATCAGATACCCAGGGCATAGAATGTCGAAGTAGATGGTCTCGCCAAGCTAGCGGCAGCCACCAGAAATATCAACAAGGAAAACGTGGTCACCCTTCTCCATTCCTCGATGGACCAAGTTGAGGTACATTCTATAAACCTAACTTGGGACTGGTGCAACCGTATCGTAACACATTTGCAGAAGAAGCACACGAGGGGCACTTTGGAGCCCATACGGGAAACCGTACTCTCAACAGATGCCTCGTCTGCGCAGGATACTACTAGACTACCATGAAAAAAGAAGCCGCAGATTACGTCAGGCAATGTGAGCAGTGCCAAAAATACGCCCCTATGATACACCAAACAGGAGCTCTTGCATTCCGTCACTTCGCCATGGCCATTCATAAAGTGAGGGATAGATATTGTCGGACCCCTCCCAGCAGGGCGAGGTAAGGTACACTCTTTTTTAGTTTTAACTATCTTTCTAACTGGGTGGAAGCAGGTGCATACACTCAAATACATGAGCAAGAAGTTGTCGCGTTCATATGGAAAAATATAATATGCCGCTTCGGCATTCCCAAAGAGATCAGCTGTGACAACGGACCTCAGTTCACCGGAAAGAAAACAACCGAGTTTTTTGAAAAATGTCGCCCATCTCAAATACTTCTACTTCTGAAAAGAGGCGCCTCCTAAGTCGTACTCTTTTTCCCTCACGCGGGTTTTGTCCCAATCGGGTTCTCGGTGAGGTTTTTAATGACGCAGCAAGGGAGACATCTCGAAGTCCGAAGTGTTGTTCATCACCCCGCCCATCGACATGATCTCCAGGCCGAGTAATGAAGGGACTAGGTATAGATAGCCAAGTCTCCATTGTATGTACAAAGTCAGCACTTGTTTCCTACAAGAATATAATCAAAATCTCCAATGTATGAATGAAACTAGCATCCACGATAATCCAACAAATCTCCAATGTATGAATGAAACTAGCACCCACGATACTCCAACAAATCTCCAGTATGAATGAAACTAGCATCCACGATACTCCAACAAACAGAATAGAGCGCCACCCTTACGACGGGATACTACTTCGACGCCAGCTCGAAAGTAACATTCCAATGGCTAAGGCTACCGACGAAGAAACGAGTTCGACT